CCCCAAAACCCCAAAACCCCAAAACCCCAAAACCCCAAAACCCCGAAGATTTTTCTAATTTAAAAATAATATTTCAATTCTTATGTCAGCCTTCTCTCAAGATCCTATACCTTTGCCTACAGACTCTCGTAGTTCAAAATTGAGTCCCAGAACTCTCTTAAACAAAAAGCTTCAAAGAAACACCAATATAATGGAAAACCACAAAGGCCATGTGACCCAGTTAGAAAAAGAAATCGAATTCCGAAAACTATTATCAAACAGACTCCATCTAACTTCAATGATAGACTCCTATAAAAACATCAGTAACCCTTCCCTTCAACCTTAGAATCCCTTCCTGAAGACCACATCCCCCAAAAATTCGTTCAAATCTCCCAAAAATTTCACCCCAGCACCAAACCCTCCACCTCCAAATTCCTTAAATCCTACCTCCCCCAACCCTCCCAATCTAGCAAAGTTGGCCTCTCAACCTCACCTCTAGGCTGCCGAACTTATCCAAAGTCCAACTGAACCACCTAAAAATCCTGCCCTAACTACTTCTTATCATAAAAGTAATAGCCTACTTTAAAGCCCAGTTTCCTGTTGAAATTCTCTCAGTTTTCAGTACCTCTATAAATCAGCTCTAGTGAGACCGAAGACATCAAGGCTGCCTAAGAACTCAGTGACGAAGGATAAAAGGTAAGTGTAAAATGGGTTATAGAGGCTGGTGATTAGGAAGGGAGTCTAGGCAATGTGAGGTTTTAAAGGGGTGCGCTGTTGCGTGATGTTTTGATGGTTTAGGAGGGAAAATGTACAGAAGAGAAAGAGACGGAAAAGGAGGGCATCAGTGGAGCAGAAGGATGGTTTTACACAAGCACAGTTTTATCAGCACCTGAGGCATATGAGTATGCCTCAGAAAGATTTTAGGAAGAGTATAGTGGTGAAGAGGTGTATGGCTAAGCAGAATCAAGATCTTGAGATGAATGAGGGGGAGAAAGCGAAAGAAAGACCAAAAACTGCCAGAACTCAATGATATTCGAGTAGAATTTTTGATATAATTTTATAGAAACTCCTCAAATGATGGAAAGTTCAGTAGTTCATGCTATTATTAACAAAGATGAGAATGCAATTTTAGAACATGCTGCTCAGCACTTTGGAGAGGAAAGCGTTGCACATTATACTCTTGAGAAAGGTAAATTATCCTTGCTGAATATTACAGAAAAACTTAAGCCAACGTACACTCATGTTCCTAAACAGCTGAAGATCCGCAAGAGTACCTCTTTATTATTAAGATTTAGCTGTCAAAAGATCATCCAAAAATATAAAACATCCATTCACTTGTAATTTAGTAGATGGTGAATTATAAGGTATTTTCTTTGTAATCAGGTTATTATGAATTTAGCCATCAAGACACATTATTCTAGAGAAACATTTAATCGTGACTATCAAAGTTTTATTCAAACTTTTAAGTCTTTTAAAATGAGTTGGGCTAAATTTCAGATCCCAACTATTTCAAAATTAATCTTCTCTAGAAACCTAAATAGCTATTCTCCAGTCTCAATAACTCCAAGAAACCTCGACCGGAGAGCTGCTTCTTGCCAAGAACTGGATGACAGAGGCACTAATGAAGGATTGGATGAAGAAAAGGGGAACTTCATTGGATTTCACGTATGAAAAACTGTCACTAAACTTCTAGAGAACTCACACTCCATATCTTGAAATCAACACTAAGAACTCTAAGTAATATTCTACAGTATTAAGCTTTATGTTCTCTAATCTTAAAGTCTGTCAATTCCATTCTAAAGGTGCCATCTAGGAGAGAGTCTTCAGCAGTGAATTCGAAAGGAAAGCTCACAGTTGATCTCACCAGCTTTGGAACTGTACACAGTAAGTTTATTGGGGATAGGGAAGTACTGGTGCTAGGAAATTTGAATTTATGTGACAGTTAAGTTGTGGCTGTGTTTGGTGATAAATATACTTTTCTTCTGCTATTAAAGCGGATAGTTGGTGGGTTGAAGGCAGTTTGGATGGTAAATATACAGAAAATAAGTCTGGTATTTGATTGTAGAGGGCTATTTACCATTTGAATATTTTCAAGTGATAATTACAATAATTTAACCAAACAAAGGGAAACTTCAATACTATTTGTGATAAATGCTTTTTAATAGAGCATGATTCACAGATCCTTAAGCCGAGATTAAAATAAATCAAAGACTAAAAATCTTAACTTAGACCAGAAGAGAACTAAACGAATATTTACTAAGAAAATATCCAAGAGAAGGCCTAAGAGCTCTTACGGAGTAAATTTAAATTTAACCATTTGCAGTATAAAACTCAAGACAGACTTAAAATACAAGGAAGCAAGAAGTATAAGGTTAGCCAGAAAAGCTATAAAGAAAAAGGACCCTGGAACTCTGATCTCACTGATGAAAACTTCTTTATTGGCAAAGACTCGAGGTAAGCTGTGCAATTTTTAACTCCCCAGAGCCCCAAAGAAGAACAAATCCTTGGTCAAAAAGGTACTTTCCTTGACTTCTTCTAGCCTACCGACCACTACTCAGGGAACATCGATCTCAAAGACATCCTTCGGCCACTTACCAGTTCCTCCAAAGTCCCCAGTCAGTTCCTAAATTTTAGTAATGTTTCTAGAGTAAGAAGACAGCGTGGCCGCTGCAGTCCTCCTAAACCCAAACCTCTTGCTCCACTTTCCAAAGGAGGTGGCTTCAAAAACCCTGCTCCAAAACTCAAATCTGTAGCCGGTACCTTCCCTTCATAACCACTCTAGTCGGCACAGATCTAAAACAAATAGTCAACTTGAAATTTACCAGTAACGATAAGAGTAAGCACACTTGAACACTGAAGAATTTTTGGAATTTTGAGATTTAGGATTTTAGAAGTAGACATTATGGATTTTTAGTTTATTACCAAGAAGGCCACCAGTCAGTGAGTGGAGGGGTGTCGGATACGGAGTCGGAGAAAGTCAGTGTAGGCGGATGGAAGGAGATTATTGATGATATGGTGCAGGGGTGGACGCAGCCGGTTGGGGTTTATATAGAGAATAAGAAGCTGAACCATAATAACCCGATGTTGTAAGTCAGTAGAGAAGGATGAGAGATCATATTAATAGTTGTATTATTCAATATTTTAGAGATGTGAAGGGGTTTTGGGGTTTTGGGGTTTTGGGG